AAGCACCGCCAAGTCCTTTGAGTTTTAAGCTATTGCTAGTAGTTCTCTGGCGAAAGGAAAATGGGAGACTTTTAGGGGGGGCCATCAGACCATCAGACTATGAAAGAGCAAAAATTGTTCCACTGGAAAGATTTTTCCCCTTTGAAAATGCTGCTGTTTTTTCTGTTAGACTCTTCTTTATCATGTTCAGAATTTTCTGTATAGAAATCTCAATTCATTCACACTGAAAAGTGATTGTCATATCCTTGTTGTATTAGAAGAAATTTTAGACTATCACTTGCAACTTATCTTTATACCTAAGTTTATCATACAGTAATGGGGCTACCAGATGTTCATGGTATTTAAGCCACGCGAGGCTATCATCTGTGACAAAAACTGGACATGTTTTAACCTGAAGGAGGAGTCAGGTATGTTCGCCCACTTTCCTGTAGTATAGCAAATGTCTGAGATAATCAACTTACAAAGATAAAAGGGTTTTTTTTTTTTTTTTTTTTTTGTGCTCACTGTTTTAGAGGTTTCAGTCCCTGATCAGTCAGTCTTGTTGCTTTTAGGCCTGTAGGAAGTCAGGAATGTGTGTCAGAGCAAAACCATTCACCTCATGTTAGGAAGGGGAAAAAGAGAAGCAGAGCTATGGCCCACTGTTCCTATGGAGGGCACACTGCTGATGGCCGGAAGGCTTCCCTCTAGGCTCCACCTCTTAAAGATGCCACTACCTCCCTGTGGCAGCATGCCTAGGACCCAGGCTTGACCTCATGGACCAATCCTTTGTGAGGACCTTTACCACAGTTTGGATATTTAAGGGTAAGATCCAAACTAACATCAAGGCAGACTATGCATGGACCAAATCGCGTGCACATGCACGCACACATGGACACCTTTCTATATATCTTACTAACCTGGAACCAAGAAATACGATTTGGTAATGATTTTTCTTGAGCAGAACCTGAAGTTTGCGGTGTCAAAATATAGATTTTAGCATACTTTAGACTTACTTCAACAGCTAGAGGGTTAAAAGAACCGTAGAATGCCTAGCTGTAAAAAGAAAAGGAGGCAGGGGATCTGAGGAGGAAAAAATTGGGAAGATTTTAGAAAAAAGCAGTCTAAAAGCATTTACACTAAGAGTTAGGCTTTTGCCTCTATTTATCCTGCTTCATGTTCTGTTATAAAGAGGCAGGAATGACCACAGACCCATCAGTATAATCCATCTGTGTTTTCAGAAGGGAACCACAACAATGAATTAAAAAGAAAAATGAAAAAAAAAAAAACTATCATTGTTATGATCCACTTGTCCTCCACACCATTACTGGTGGTTAACAATAACTTTTTGGGGAAGTTATTGTTAACTTTTTTATATAATTTGCCTTTTTCAGAAAATACCTTTAAACAACCACATAGCAATACAATTTATGAAGGCAGCTTTTCCCTTTAGTACCTCTTATTTCAGTGGCTACATATAAAAGATTGGAGGGAGAGTCTCAGGTAATAAAGAACAATTGTTTGTTGGGGACCAGGAGGCAAGAAGACTTATCACTTAATCCACTGCATCATTTTATAGATGATAAGAATGTGAGTGAGCTGAAAGTAATTGCCTTATTTCTGATTTCTTTAATAGTTGTTGATAACCTACTATGTATCACACCTCGATAGACACAAAGGTTTCAATGAGAAATAAAATAGATTTATAACTCCTATAGTCTAGTGAGGACGTTCACTGCAACGAGGGCTCTGTAAATGGGGTGATGTACTTGGTGGGAAAATGTTTAAAAGTTTCTGTGTGTTTATAGTTGATTGAATTTCAACAAAGGTAAGAAAATAAGCAAAGTGTAGTCTAGTCTGCAAATGGTGCTTGGAGAACTGAGCACCCATGTGGAAGAATGAGGTTGAGGGGGCTCGAGGATGTAGCCCAGGATCAGAGCGCGTGCTTGGCATTTGGAAAGGCCCTTGATTCAGTTGCTGCCACCACCACCAAAAACAAAAACAAAAAAAATGAATTTGAGTTTCTATACATGTGCAAAACTTAAGTCGAAATGGTTGCACAGGCTAAGAATTCAAGCTACACTTGTAAAATTCCCAGAAGAAAACTTAGATTACATTGTGATCTTAAATTAGCAATGGTTTTATAGATATGACAACAAAAGCCTGAGATTCACATGCGCGTGCGCACACACACACACACACACACACACACACAATACATTTGGCATTATCCAAGTACTTATGAGCTTCAAAGAACACTATGAAGAAGAGAATGAAAACACAGCCACAGAATGGGAGAAAAATTTTATAAATTTTGTATGTGTATATATATATATACATATATATATATGATCATGGACTTGTATCTAGGATAAAGTATACTTAAAACTTAATTATAAAAAGGAAACCCGATTTAAAAATAGAACAAGAGCCAGGGATTTAGCTCAGCAGCTCAAGTGCTTGCCTGATAAGTGCAAGGTCATGTGTTCAATCCCCAGTACTAAATAGATAAGTAAATAAATAAAAATGGGGAAAGATCTACATAGACATTTATTCAGAGAAGCTATGCAAATTGTAGGTAAGCACATGAAATGATGCTCAACATTATTAGCTATCACAGAGATACAAAACAAAACTAAAATGACATACCACTTAGAATAGATAATATCAAGTATTGATAACAATGTGGAGAAAATACTCTGCTGATAGTATTGTAAAGTGGTGCAGCTGCTTTGGAAAACAGTCTAGCAGTTTTTCAAAATGTCTAACATAGAGTTAGCATGTGACCCAGCAATTCTCCTCCCAGATATATGCCTAAGAGAAATGAAAACATGCCCACACAAAAATGTGTGTATGAATGTTCATAGCAGCATTTCATGATAGCCAAAAGCTGGCAACAACCCAAATGTCTACCAACTGAAAAATGAATAAAGAAAATGTATATACAGCATTTAAAAATGAAAAATAGAGTAGTGATACATTTTATATCATGAATAAACCTTGAAGACATTATGTTAAATGAAAGAAGTCACAAAAGGTAACTTGCTGTCTGATTCCATTTATGTGTCCAGAACAAGCAGATCTATACAGACAGAAATGGCAGTGATTGACTAGACCAGAGGGGCTTAGGAGAGGATGACAGTGACTGCTGATCATACAGGGTTTCTTTTGGAATAAAGTGTCCTCAAGTTAATTAGAGTAATAATCGCCAACTCTGAGAATCTACTAAAAATCATTAAATTATATATTTTAAGTGAGTGAATTCTATGGTATCTCATTTATGTCAATAAAGCTTTTTTTTTTCAGAAAAAAGCTAGTGTAAAGCGAGCAGAGAGTGGGAAAGTAAGGTTATTCTAGCCAACGAGAAACCACCGCTGTGCCCACACTTGGAGAACAAAACGGGGTGCAGCAAATAAGGATGGAAGCGTGGAGCCCTGGGGAACTGGAGTTACTTGGCAGAGTGGCCCTAATGCAATGATGTTGGTTTTCTGTCTCACTCTTCATGTCACTGATACTCAGCACAGAGAAGGTGTGTCGCAAATACTTAGCTGTTGGTTAAATGAATGCATCAGTAAATGAATAAGTGAACTGCAAACCATCTCTAAATAATTGGTAATAGAGCCAAAGCTAGCTGACATCTTCTAACTCCTTGTTAATTAGATCTTTGTTGTACTTTGTCAGGTAGAAAGCTTTAGAATCAGAGTAAAAGTAGCTTTTTGTACGATGGTATTCATTTGTTTAAGGCAATTACCTCTGTACGTATCCAACCACAATATCAGCTTCATGAAGTCACTGTATGTCCTCTTCAGTCCACTTGAGTAACACGTTAGCAAAAGCAAAGTGTGAACTGCATGGCATTCCTTTTCCATTTGACAGTGCCAAGTGGTTTCCCATTTGCATTTAAAGGCATGGATCCAAATTTATTTCTAAGTTTATATGACGGCATAATCTCACCACTGCCTAGTTTTCCACTCTTACTCACCTGGTCTTCAACCAGTGGAGTCTCACTGGTTTTCCTTTACCCAGAGCCTTTGGGCAAACACCTACCTTATGCTTAGTATTTTCCTCTCCGTTTCTCACTTGTCCACCTCTTTTTCTTTTAAACTCCCCTTAAAAGTTTGCACTTCTCCAGCTACTGTCAGTCCCATAATGGTGCCTCATTTCTTTCCTTTATTAAACTCATTATAATTTATTGTTTTATTATTATTTACTTAAAAAGACCTTTCTTTTCCATTGGAATGTAAGTTGAAGGCAGAGACCCTTCTGTATGTGATTCACTGCTGTATCCTGTGCTCGGGTGCCCCATGTAATTAGGATCTCAGTAACTGGATGGATGAGTGGGTGGGTAGAGGTTGTGACTCTCAGGTCCCAGAAGTGGGCTGCCTGTAGAGCAATTCTCATTTGCTACCTACTGCTTGGTGAACTTGGACAAGGGAATTAATATATCCAAACCTGGGTTTCCTCCTTTGTAAAATGAAGGCAAGTATAACTCTCATTTTATAGAGTTTTATAAAATTCAAGTTAATATATGTAAGCCTCATAGTACAACACATGATATGTAATAATTACTTGATACATATTAATAGGTATTAGAACTAGTGTTGTTAACTTTTTTTTTTTTTTTTTTTTGAGACAGTGTCTCACTGTGTAGCTCAGGCTGGCCTCAAACTCACAGTGATCCTCCTTGCCTGGGCTCCTGAGTGCTGGGATTATAGGCATCACCGTACCCAGCCTGTTGTATTCTTATTCACATTCTCTGTAATTATTTTTTCTCTCAGCTGATTGGGTTCTACTTTGTCTAGTTCCTTTCTTGAGTTACGATGATAATTGAATGTAATTTTGGTGTGGCTGCCAGTACATGCTTACATTAACCTTACTTCAGAACAGGTTGTTTCTTGGGTTGATTATCAGATGTGTGTCTTTTTGGATGTTTATTGAGGTTAAATTCAATGAAAATTCCTAATACCAAGTACCTACTGCCCATCCTCAGTCCCCCGCACAGTAAATTTGGCATTTGCATTTACCTCTCTGAAACTTGGCTATGTTAGTTCAGGGCTCTTGTATCAGCTCACCAAATTCCTGTTAGATCTTGTCTTTGACGTACAGTCATAATAAATTATTCCCTTCACATATATCATAGGCAGATCTGACCAGCAAGTCCATGGTGTCCACTTTAAAGTCAATACAGCAGGGCTGGGGATTTAGCTCATTGGCATAAGCGCCTGCGTTGCAAGCAGGCAGTCGTGGGTTTGATCCCTGGTACCAATAAAAAGGAAAAAGACCAAAAAAAAAAAAAAAAAAAAAGTCAATACAGCCTGAAGAACAGCCGGAGCCCTGTAACTTGTCTCTTAAGACCTCCATAGAGTTTACCGTGTTCTGTTTTGTTTTCCATGTGATTTAATTGATGTTTGAGAACCAAATTGAATTTTCTTTTTAAAGAACCAAGCATTCTTTAAAAAGTTCTGGTCAAATTAAACAAAAAACCATTTATTTCTGTGCTTCTTATGTGTAAGTGGTGTGGCATTGAGCACAGGATTACATTGAGGCATCGTGGAAACTTAGACATAGATGACAAAGCAATCAAAGTGCCTTTGAAAATATTAGCATTTTTGGAGTTGGCAGGACTTGAATATGTGTGGGAAAACTCCCAGTGGAAGAAGAAAATAAGAATGGGCCTGACTTAAATTTGAGTTTGTTCTTCTAACATAGGTGAATGGGCTAAATTGGGAATATGAAGAATTAAAATTCATAAAATTTTTTGGGATTTCTCAATTGATTCTAGTGAGCTAACCATTACCCTAAATTTATCTGTTCTATGCTTATTTTATTTGTTTTTAGGAAAATAAGTAAAACAAAGAGTTATATCTTGCTTTTCTGTCACGGCATATAAATTCATTAAAATATATGAAAGTATTTTCTAAAGTATGAAAATTTATTTACATATATAGCACTGTTGTGATTGAATGTATGGTCAATAAATTTACTCATTAGCATGTGAAAGCTGGTAGTTTAAAAGAACTGGCCTCAAAGTATTTATTAACTAAAGCATCTATTTCATACTTAAGAGCTGCTTTCTAAAATTCGCTACAAAATATAGGTTATCTTTGAGTTAAAACCTTAAGTACAATCAATTCTTCAGTTCCTTAAAAAGAATTTTACAGCAATATTTACATAACCTGCAGCTATAGTGTATTTTCTAAAAACTCCACATAAGGTGAGATCACGTACACCATGTCTCAGTACGGAAGGGTTTTTTTTCAGTTATGTCTCTATAAATAAACCTAGTTTTGTTGTTAAAATTTGCTGTTTCCTCCTCACATAAAAGCATCTCATTAATTTGAGTGAAAACCCTCCAACAAAATAAGGTTAAATTGGCCAGTTTTCCAGTGGAAGAAAATCCATCTTATGTCACCAAGAAGCGGAGTAACAGCTCAGAAGTAAGTGACCGCAGTCTTGTTCAGTGGTCAGAATGTTTTGAGTGCAAGCCGAAGTGTTCAGGTAAGAGCCTGGTTCAGTGTTCGGTATGCTGTCAGTAGATGCTTAGCATTGTAGAGGCGAGCATGAATACAAATTCTGTCTGTAACCAGGTACACGAAGGAGTAACAGAAAGTGGGTGAATGGAAAGAGCTGACTTCAGAAAGGTTTATTTTATAGGGAGGAAGAGGCACTTTGTTCTGTGTTCCATTGTAGTGTTCAGTTACCCAGACCATATTAATTGGGTTTCCTTTAGTCAGCTGACTGAAGTTGATTTAATGAAAACTTAAAATAATTAGAAACAAAAAACTGGGAAAATGTGAATGAGTGAGGAAATAATATACATTGCCTTATGTAGCTAGTTTTTTTTTTTCCAGAAAACAATCTGAGTCTTAATTTTAGTGTCAGATTTTGAGAGATTGACAAGGTTTAACCAAGATAATACACAGACCAAGAAGAAAAAGTTCTTGTTGAATAACACTTGTCAGATGAGAAACAGATGATGTGTTTTCTTTTATTGCATTTAAAAAATTGATTGTTGCCAATAGACATTCTTGTAACCAAGCTAACATTGCAGTCTGGCACGAGTCCACAGTTGAAGGGAATGAGTATCAGCAAAAAGTTAGGAGCCTGGGTTCTCATCCAGCTAAGTGGACTCCAGTGAGTGGCATAATCTCCCTGGACCCTGGAGTTCCCATCTCTAAAATGGGGGTTGGGGAGGGAAATTAAAATAACGACTCATTATTTATTCCTAAGACTGCAGTTTCCTTTCCTTTTATTTTTATGATGACAGGGAATGAACCCAGAGCTGGATGTAGGCAATGTATCATTTATTTGTAAAGGCCTGTATTTTTAATAAACAAAATCTTGATATAAATAGGAAGTTAGTTTATTTCCAAATGTTTTCGGATCCTTTTGGTAGGAGCGTACTTTAGAACAAATACAACTAGCACAATATTTGAGGAAGAAGAATTTTACTTGTGAAATTAAAAAATATACATTGAAGTCTTGAAAGTACAAAATAACCCCAATGTTTCTTAGTCTGTTTAAGAATCAAGTATTTAACTGATTATTTCCCAGAGAATTCCTCAAAAGTAACATTGAGTATGTTTTCATTTGTAGCAGTAGAAAAGCAATAAAAATGTGTGCTTTATCTAAGAGACAAAACAGTTTTGCCGGAATCCTTTGTTTTTCTGGTCAGGGAGTAAATAAGCCATTTTTATACAATAATTTTTTGTTAGATGATACCATAATTGAAGACAGTGCTTACTATTGAAATGACTAATTATTTAGAATTTTCTGTTATTAATTTTTTTAAATTTTGTTTTGGTTTGGGTTTTTTGTTGTTGTTTTGCAAATTGTGGTCTTTATGGTTGTCTGTACTTTTATATCCAAATATCTAATTCTCTGAGAAGCAAACCTACATATTGTGCTGATATGTCTATAATTATAGACTGTGAGGAAATAATACATTTGAAGCATTAGTGAAAATATAGGAAAGTGTTAAAATTATACATTGCAAAGATTTTTAGGCTTCTTTAAAATAATGGTGTCGATTTTTAACAAACTTTTTCAAAAACTATTTGATTTAGGATTATAAAATGTCCTAAGGATTTTAAATCTCATAATGAAAAACTAAAATCATTGTACGTATAAGTAATAAGATATTTTCTAAACTGGAAATAAATACCTCATATATTTAAATTTACCTATACAGTTTTTCTACAGTTAAATCTGATGTATCTTTAAGAGGAGCAATGTTTTAGTTTATTTAAATCTATTTTGCTTTTATAGAGGGTGAAAACATTCTTACCTTACTTGAAAAATGGCTTTTACTCTGTTTATAAAATTGTTTTACAGTAGTTTTTTTTATATAGTCTTGTTTTTTCTGTTTAGCCACATTTCTATACATGGGGGACACTGCAGTAGCAACACTAATTAGTAAGAGGACAATGTTAACAAAGTTATTTTAATTTACATTTTAGTGTATTTTCAGTGAGTTTTTCAATTAGAATATATTAATGGCTTTAATGTAGAGGCAGAATGAGTAATACTATCTCAAGATATAATAATTTATAAAGTGACAAAATTATGGTTAGACTTCATTTAATATGAATCCTACAGACTTAATAAGACATTTGCTGTTGTATTATTTTAAAGAACTAAACAAGAATATTGGGCTGATTTGTTACTACTTACTGTAGCCCAAATGATTAAAAATTTGAGGAGAAAATATGGTAAATTACATGTATCATTGGACTTTTCATCAAGATGATAAATTTTTTATATTTTAATAATTTAAAAGGATAATGAGAAATGTGGAATAAATTGGATATTGTACTTGTATAGTGTGTATGTATATACATGTGTGTGTATATGTGTACATATGGATGTGTATATATATAAAAAATTGCCTGGCCAGCTGAAATCACACACACACACACACACACACACACGCAATGTCTTGCACATATTATTTGTTCAAAAATATTGTGTTTAAGTAGTTTTTTCTTAAGAAAAGGAATTATTTAAGAGAATAAATTAATAGTTTACTCTCTTAAATTGGAATCTTTTTTTCTTCAGATGACTTTCTTAATTGGTGATAAAACTATTTTCAAGTGTTTATAAAAGTCAACAGCTAAAGTGAACATTCTCTCTATGCCTGATAATGGTTTCTTGAATTCTGGGTTACTATTTTTAGACTGTTTTACTTCAGTAATTCTTTTACCTATCAGTTTTTGTACTTAGTATGTTATTCTTTAATGAGAGAAAAGAATATAAAACAATGTCTTGGACTGTGAAAAGACCATTCTTTTTTATTTTGGGATGTCCCACAGAAAAGAGCTTCCTGTTTTTATTACAGTTCATTTTGAGAGAAACAACTTCAAGTTCATTTTTCTTTTCAGTGTACTTCTTGTAGCAAAGAAAATACTTTTGAAATGCCTTCAAAAGGACTGAGTCAAAGTGTAGTGTAATTTTTTTTTACACAAAGTAAACTTACAGTGGTTATAAAAAGAAAAAGAATTGTGTTAATTTGTTAACAAACACAGATCAAGGTTTCCTTTGTATGGATGACTCTCACCTAGGACACAGTAGGATTACCTTCCACTAGCCATCCTTATCTGCCTCTGCCCAAGGATGATGCACTGATTTTCAGGGAACAGTGCAAGCAATCATGGTTTCTTCTGGGCTCTTTTTTATAAGCTAATGTCCCCAAGGCAACTTAATTAAATAATATGTTAATTTGAATGTATTACATATAATTTATATATGCACACATAATTATATAATATATACATATGTGTAAATGCATGTTTGTAGATATATATGTATATAAAGTTAATTTTATATAAGTGTTTTAAGTGGAAAAATGATTTCTCCTTTTATAATATTGGACTGTTGAGTACACTGATGATATAAATTTCCTTCTAGAGAGAAGCCAAACTGTGTCCTGTTTTCAGCCTTTCTTTATTAAAGTTATAGTATGGAAATTTTCTTTTTATGCATACCAAGCAAAGGAATGTAAACCTTCATTAATCTTTTAAGTTATAGTCTCTGTACACCAACACAGTAAGACAAGCATGTATAAATGTCTCAGTACAGTATTTTATGGTATGAGAAGTAGAATAGATTGGATTAGCAGTTGGTAAAACAAGGTACTGCCAAAGATCCAAAGTGTTTTGAGTTTGCCAACTTTATTAACATAGCTCTTGTGATATAGCTGTGAAGAGAGCATAGAAGCAGTCTCTTGGAAAGTAGTTCAGTTAGGAGGGTTTGTAAGTGATTGAGCATCATGCCTAAGACAGCTTTACCCATAGAAACAGAGCAGAGTAGTCCCCCAGTAGTAAGTCATCACTGGTACAGTTAATTCGCATCTGGGTGCAGGGGTGTCAGGGAGCTGTCATCTTTGCAATTGCAGTAGACCCTTCACATGTGTGGAGACAAATCCCAGTATCTTCACCAGTGGTAGCAAAAGTGGTTAGTCCTTTCCATTTAATGTAGTAAAGTATAATTGACTTGATACTCTATAATATTTATAAGGAGAACAGAAATTGTTGATGAAGTTTTGAAATAAATCCTACTGCAATAAATAGTGTATTTTATTTCAGTGGAGTTCCATTTCAGGAGAAGTTTGTATTCTAAGTTAAATGTCAAAGGTAAATATTCCACATGATCAAAATTGCTCATAAAAATTGATAAATTGATCAGAATAGCTTTGATGTTTTTGTATGTATTAATGTGTGTGTGTGTGTGTGTGTGTGTGTGTGTGTGTGTGTGTGTTTAATCTCTATCCCTCCCACATGGGAGACATTCATGCCTTTTCTCAAAAATTTTAGCTTACATCATTTTACTTCCATTGTTGAATTAGCTTGCTACTCATACAAAAGTCAGATTAATAAGTTAGCTTATGTTTGGGGATGATTTTTATATGAAAAATACACATATTTTGCAAATGAAATTACACTCAGCGGGGTAAGACACGTATAGCAGGGAGGTAAACAGGTACTGTGATTGACCGAGGGCTCAGAAAGTCAGGCCTCACAGTTCTAACGTTTGCGGAGTGCGTGGTGGGCAGAGTCACCCACACTTCCTCTGCTCCCTCTTGCCTTTGCTCATTGTTATTCCAATATTTCTCTTGCAGTAGTGTTAATTATGAACCATATGATTCTGGGGCCATGACAAATGAAGACAGAATAAAACGTACCAGGTAGCAAGGGTGATGTGAGATTGCATCCACTGAGGCCATGGACCTAACTCGGGCAGAAATGGGACCTTGGAAGTAGAAAGCAAAGGCCACAATCTGAGCAGGAAGCAGATGTGCTTCTAAACACGTGAAGTGTTTTCTTCATATCATAATGATTGGTAGCTATCTTTTTATACTTTTTTAGTTTTTGATGTATTTTCTGCTATTGCAAAATTTATTCTCAGATAATTTAAAAATGTCAACATCATTGATAGTGGACAAAAGGCATAGCCAACAATTAACATGTTCATGTATTTGATTTCATTATTTTAAGAACTTTCCATTCATTTCAACATTGTCTACTTTAATGTCACCTCTTCTTAATATGCAATTTTGGGTCATTCTTACCCATTTCAAATGTGATCAGAGCTTCCCCAATCAATCTTAGTCATGTTTACCAATAACCTAACAACTGTTGCAATGCATCACTTGAAAAAGGTCTCATTAAAGCTTCTTTTTTTAAGCTTCCCACCAATCACATTATATTTAAACTTTTAGCTCACCCAATGTTATCTTAATGCAGTGGCAACAACCCTATACTACTCACAGCAGCAGTCATAAAAGATCCGGATCTCTCTATGACCTTTACAACATGAATGTCTTAAGCATTCAATGCCTACAGCTTTGTTAATATTTATCTTATTAGAATACTGAAAGCATGATAGAATTAGGGGCAAAAAAAAAAAAAAAAGCAGCTCAGTGTTTTAAAGAAAAAAAAAAACAACTTCCTAAATGGCCTGTTATTTTATCTATGATAAATAAAAACCTAGATTCATGAAACTGCAAAGCAAGCCCTTTTTCTTCCTTGTAGCAAGCATAAAGCATTTATTGAATTGGTGCAGAAGGGAGCTATCATCTGAACTTTTATGTAAATTACCACAGAAATAGCACTGCTTCCTTATTTTGCCCTTGAATCTTTTGACATGAGAGAATAGTAGTGTAAACTTACTTAACCAAAAAGCCTACTTATAAGAATGTAATACTAGCAACCACCTTACATCTGATACCTTAACTTTGGTGTTTTACACACACATTTTGAGAAAGTCTCATCTTTTCTGCCATAGTTGCATCTCATCTGTTTGGAACACATGTTTTGGCCAAGAGCGACTTTAGTTCTGAGGAAGTGCTTTTAAGTGTTCAGTTAATGCAACTTTTCTTAACATTATGCAAAGAAAAAACTTCCTTAAAGTTCTTCAAGTAATACTTGCTTAGAAAACAAGCAAGTATTGCGCCACTGGAAGCAATTGGAAAGTTGAAAAGTTCCCCAAACATCTATTATCTGTTTCATTGGAAAGAATATGAAAGTTCCGAGTTGACTCATACAGATATGGAGAAATGCTATTGTAAAAGATGTAGACCGTAAAGCCAAGGATAAAGTAAATCCAAGCTCCAGGACTTCTTCCCAGTCAGTCATTAGCCCTAAAGTCTCATGGAAATGCTTCTTTAAGGTGAGCCATGGCCAGGGCCTTGCAAATTGTATTTGGTGGCATGCTATTTGATCCAAGTCACCTGAGTTTTATCTTCTCCCAATGGTTTTGTAGTACTTGTGTATTTTTCATATGCCAAACTGTAGGTTAGAAGTTTTAGAAAGCAGATTGTGTGTCATTTACTTTTTATTTTCTGTTACATTTAGGTTTGTGTAAGGCAACAATATGGTACAGTGAAAAGCACTGTATAATCTTATATGTTACCTAACGTCTGTGAGCTTTAATTTTCTCATCTATAAAACAGAAATAGGATACTTATTTTACAAGTAAGAATCCAATGAACACAAAATGAGATTTTAAAATACAAAATGCTTAAGTAGTGCCTAAAACATAGTAAGTATTCAAAAATAATACATGATGTCAGTGTTGCCATTAGATCAGCAATAAAAACGTTAAATCAGTGTTATATGCCATCAACAATGATGGTCATGAACAGAATTTCTAGAATGTTATTGGCAGCCTTCTACCTATCTAGTGTAATAAAGGGGACAATCATTTTGGCCATTTTTAGATGACTTAATTGTTACTTACCATATCCTTTTATTCATATAGGATGGTTCCCTAAGAATCTAGTTTTGAGAGTGAGTCTTAGATAAGTTAGATTCTCTTTTCTTATATGCTAGACCAGTACTATCCAGTAGAATTTTCTAAGGAGATAAAAATATTTTTTACGTACATTTTCCAGTATGGTAGCCGTGACTACCAGGTGGCTATTGAAAACTTCTATGTGATTAATTCAGCTAGGGAAGTGTATTTAGTTTGAATAGCTACAAGTAGCTAATATAGCTCTAGTCAAAAATATATTGATTTGATAGAATTTATCTTAGTATCTACAAGTTAATAAAATTATCAGCTGGTGAATGCTAGATTTCCAATTTCCATTATTTTTGTCCACACAGAATTTGATGAAAACTGTTATTCATTTCTCAAATGACAGATTGTTATGTTTCAATTTTCAATATCATATACTATATTACTTTTCATAAGATAGTCTATGAATTCATCTATTGGTTTCTGAGTGATAAATTCACATTGTCAAATTTTGTCAGCTTACCACAAGTTCTTCAAAGTGTGCAAGGATTTCTGGATTCCAGTCTTCTTACTGCACTGAAAAATTTTTTTTCTTTTTTCCACATTCTCATCTTGTCTTAACAAATGAATTGCTATGTTATAAATGGTAAAAGGATTTTTGAAATCTCATAATATTTAGTGGCAGGAATAAATCAACTTCATTGGATTCTTAATAGTTCCTTTTTCTTTCCAGGCAGTTATCTTTTAAGACTAAAGTGAGATGCAATTTTTCAAATAGGTTTTATATTAATTTTTGTATTTTTTTCCTTTGGAGGTCAGAAAAAATGTGTAATAGAAATTCTCAATGAAATGCTTTATTTGGTTCTATTTAATTTATATAACGTACAGAATTCTCTTTAAATTGCAGGATTATGGAATCAACTGTATATATAGAAGCCAAAAAACTTTTCCAAAGAGGACTAGAATATGAAGAAATAGAGAATATGAGACTGCACCTCACATAATAAAGATTAGTGAAATGCTTGTTATTGATATGTGTGTGAATGTGTGTGTGTGTCTCTAAATTGTGCTGTAAAGTGGGTTTCTTACTGTGGATCTTGGTTTTTTAAAAGATTGAAAGCCATTGCATAATAGATAGACTTCTTTGGACAGTCATTTAGTCTCTTTGACCCTCAATTTCTCATGTGCATAAAAAGGAATAAGTAGTTTTATCTTTTATGCAGGTGTTTCAAAGATCAAATAATATTCCAAAGTGATGTATAATTCTTAACATGTCTTATTCCTTTAAAGTCAATAATTCTTTATTAACAAACCTCAGTAGCTTACAGTAGCAATCAAGTATACTCACGTTTATGAGTCTGCAGGACAACTGGCTGGTCTAGCCTGCATTTGCTGGGTGTCTGCTTCAGGCTGTGGGTCACAGGTTGCCTGGGCTGTGGTTTGGGTTTGGTTCCTTTCCACTTGGATTCTTTCTGTGGTCCACGCTGAGGAGCAGCAGCTGCAGAGAGCATGCTCCTCTTATGGAGAATCACCAGAACATGAAAGCAAAGCCAAACCACATAAACATATTTACGACTTCTGCTTACATTATGGCCATGAAAATTCCATTAGCCAAATGAAATCATATGGCTAAGCTCAAAATCATTTGGGAAAAATTGTATACCCTATTCTCATTGGAAGGGAAATAGGAGTATTTTCAGAACAGTAGTCTACACTATTATATTACCCAAAAGTCACTGCCTCCACATTTTGTTCACTGCTTCATTTTCACACATGAATGTACAGCCAAGACCCATCATGTCTTTGAGGTAAGGCTAGAAGATAATACACTGTTTAAAATAAGTCAGCAGCTGTAGTGTGGGTGGGACCTTGCTATGTTTTGAGTGTAACCTCCCCTTCAGTAACTTACTTTTCAGTGCAGTCATACTTGGAAGTAAGGTTTAGCTCGAATGCTCTTCTTGCTTTCATTAGCCTGGACTAGGTACTGCAAGAATGGGTTGTCATAAAACAAGGTTGCCCCTGGTATTCTCTCTCTCCTGTGCACCCCGCTTGCCTATTTACTGTCCCCTGTGAGTTGATATAGCACAAGGACTGTCCAGAGGCAGCGGCCCACTCATGGATTTTCCAGTCTCCAGGATCATGAGCCAAAAATGAACCATTTTTCTTTATAAATTATCTAGTCTTGCATACAGTATTCCATTTTAGAAATGGAAAATGGTTTAAGGCATACCTGGAGGAAATTAAAGCAATATATTTTGCATAGAAGGCAATGCTTACAGAAAGATATAAAAGGGTCAGTGAAAACAAATAGATCATGAGAGTGGAAAATATGTTTTTTTTAAGTTCAGTGGAAGGTTTGGAAAATAAAATGAGTCTTCTAGAAGTTAGAATCTTAAAACAAAGAGATGGAAAATGTTAGGTAAATTAGCTAATAAGCACAACAAAGCTAACAACCAATGTATACGAGTTCTAGCAGGAGAAATATTTAACTATATGTCATCAAAATAGCTTAAAATAATTCAAGACAAGGTCCTCAAACTGCAGAAAATATGCCTTTAGATTGTTTTTTTTTTTTTTTTTTTTGTCTTTTTCTTTTTTATCGGTACCAGGGATTGAACTCACGACTGCCTGCTTGCGAGGCAGGCGCTTATGCCACTGAACTAAATCCCCAGCCCCTAACCCTTTAGATTTAAAAAAAGGTCTACTGAAAATGTTGGAAATTATAATGGCATAGGCTTTTTAATTACAATGTTAGGATCTTGAAGAAAGTGAAATGATTCACTAAAAATCCTAAGTGAAAATTTCATAGAATTGTATGCCTAGCTAAACTATTGACTGTATGCATAAAACAGCAGCGTTCTCAAAGCATTTTCAAACAAGGCATACAAATAAGAATAAAACATTTTTATATATTTTTTCTTATGAAAGCTATCTAGAGAATGTACTTCAATCCTCCCAAAAAAAGTAAACTGAGAAATAGGATGACTTGTGATCCACACGATGGGAAGTTCTAAACCCAGCACAAAGAGGGTTTAACATAAAACAGAGATCAAAAAGGCCAGATGTAAGACACAAAGGACATAGTGGGACTTATGCTTCATCTGATCTTTGACTATTTGAAAAAATAGTATTTGGTAACTGTTTTAATTCTTAAGGGAAACCATTAGTTGCCTAGAAAAATGAACTATATCAACACTAGGTTGCTGGATATAGTGGTGCATGCCTGTGGTCCTGGCTGCTGATGAGGATGAGACAGACAATTGGATGAGGCCAGCCTGAGCAACGTAGTGAGACCCATCTCAGAAAAGGCTATTAATTCCAGAAATAATAAAATAATGTATAAAAACTAACTTAATGTAATGCTTGTTATGGTAGTGAACAAATTTACTGTAAATAATAATGTATAATATTTTAACCAAAATTACTATGTGGGAGCATAAATTGTATTTAGGTGGATGATGTAAAAGGCTTAAATTGTTACTGGTTTTTCTGAGACGGGGTCTTATTATGTTGTTCAGGTTGGTCTTGAACTCCTATACTTAGAGTGATCCTCCTGCCTCAGTTTCCTGAGTATGCTGGAGTACAGACATGTGACACTACACTTGTTACCATTTTTAACATAGGAAATCAATAGATAATTCTGATATTGAAAAATCAAGAAGTAGCAATATGTCATTTAATAATATATAGATAAGTTAGAAGAGTTGATAATGTACCCTTGGGGATTAGGTTGAGAGCTTGACAAACAGCGGAACATGGGTACTGCTCTTCTTTGCCAAGAGCAGTTGAATACTATTTGACTTAAATTGAGTGAATTACTTTAGTGAGAAAATATAATCAATAATAAAAACAAAAGTACATATATCTATGATTAACGGAAAACTTTCCACAAGGTAGAGGGATATAAATAAAGAGTAACGCGGTTCCCTCTCTTCCTGTTCCATCGCTGGACCTGCTCTCCTATTTCATCAGTTTCAACTTCCGGTCACATAGTAGGCGAGCATTCTCCAGCGAGCAACATCCCCGGCCCCTGTCTGTGCGATTTGAAGTGGATCTTTTGGTAGAGCTCTCTGGACCTGCCTTTGCCCATTTGGCCTACACATGCCCACATCGGCTGGATGGTAGACACACAGGTTAACAGCGTACTGTGAGAGGAGTGCACAATTGGCCTATGACTGTGTCTGGCCTTTCATCCCTGAGCCACCATGTGCAGCCAAGGAAGTGGCCCTGACCTAGTTGGGTGAGGCGAAGGATGATCCTGCCAGTGGGAGCGTGGCGTTTCTGGCAAGCGCTTTCACTTCTAACTGTTGGAGTTGGTGCCATGGCAGATTTTCCTGACTCAGGGCATAAATGTTGAGTCCTAGTCCAGCTGGTTAGATTATTTGTTGGTTTTGATTATCTGTACCAATAAGCTCTTTTGCTGGCCTGGATAATCAGAAGCAGGCAGTAATTTTCCATCTTCGTAACAAAAATGCTTTTTACATTTGAAAATTATAAAACATATAGTTTTATTCAGTTTTTACCAGAAAGCTGCTATATAAAGAAGGAGGAAATTTGACTGACTCTAAGCAAGGACTCTTTAGGGATAGTCAAATACCCTTAGGCAGGTCATTTTTTCTACTTACCACCTTGCTGGTTTTGAAATGTATTTTATAGTTCATATGCGCGAAGCACTCAGCTAACAACTCATTATCCAGCCAATCTTTTGAGTCTTTGGAGCTTGCTAGTTTCCCTTTCATTTTAGGCTGAAGACCCTGATGATAGTCAAATGACTTGTCCAAGGTCTCACAGAGTTGAAAAGTGCCAGAGCTGTGCCTAGAGCCCTGATTTGTGTTGGCTGTTGGATCTGTGTGTTGTTTCCCTCTATATGTGACTGGCTTTCAGTGTAACCTCTGACTCTAATCACATGAAATAAGAGAGCAGTTGATCTATGCTTAAAAATGTAACTATCAATGTGAGGCATATACCATATGAGGTTATAGCAGGGTGTTTACAAAAAACGTCATATCTATATTTTTTTTAGTGCTGGGAAATTGAACCTAGGGCCTTGTATGTGGAAGGCAAATGTGACATCCAGCTCATATCTTCCTTTTGAAGAAAGTTTGGAATTTTATGATTCTTCTGTCATTCTTACTATTTTCTCAATTCTAAATGCTAGATTCATCTTTGATTTCAAGTACCTGTGCTTATATTCTCATTAAATCAGTGCGCTGTCTTTATATTTCTGTTTAAAGTCTCTCTACTCACCCTATCTGGTCTGGTTTCCCTTCTGTATTCTTTTCCACTTTAATTTGATCTTTCACACTGGAGTAGTTTGTTTTTTTTCTCTTTCTCTGTCTCTTTTTTAGCTTTGCCTCTGTCATATGGCATACTCTTTAAACCAGTTAAGTATCTTATTAAGAAAAAATACAGCTTTATTAATTCATAATTCAAGACTTTTTTTTGGTACTGGCAATCGAAAGGACTCTTTATAATGAGATCTACTGTATCATTCCACGAGTTTTTGTGCCCTCACCCTTTTTCTCTTCTTGTCTGTGCTAACTTAGACCTCATCTGTCTATGGAGGCATGGATTACCATGGATTAACAACTAATTTTTTTGTTTATATGCTTTGCATTTTGATAGTTGTTTTATGTCTATATTATTTATTTACTTAGATGAACTGTTAGCTTCTGAATATAGATATAGGAACTCTATGTCCAATGTAGTATTTAGCATATTTTTTGAACATAGCATCATATGAAAAATTTTTGAAGTTTTAAAGTCAACATATAATTGCAATTCTGTACTTTGCTTTTGTTAATTTCATAAATGTTAAACAAGTAATTTAATAGACATTATTGCTTTTTATCTCTAAACACATATGTGATTGAAATAGTATAAATTTAATAATAAAATATTTTAAAGAAATCAGTTATATTTAATATTTTACTCTGAAAGATACTGCAAGTCTACTTTGAATGAAAGTAATGAATTCATTATTACATTGTTTAAGGAAACAATATTTAAGATTTTACATAAATTATATTATGGTAATATATACTTTTGATGTGAATAACCTGGATATAGTGTTATGATTTTAAGAAAATATACAAATGAATTGTTAAATTTATCTTACATGATGTATTAACTATAGTTGGAGATCATTCAACATTTTGAGTAATGACATAATGAAATTTAAAAATATGTTTAGATGCTAACTATAAAACACTCAGCTTAGCCAACTTTTTTTTCTCAAAAGGACATTGTATTTTTGTGTATCAAAATTGTTTCTTACTTCCTCTTAAATCTGAAAATATTTTTGTACTTTTTTTTTGTTTTAGCCTATCTTTAAATGTTCAGATCTATTTATTTTCTTTTGCTTAGTTTCATAAGTGTTGTGTAATACATATTTCTACTTTACTATAAAAATGATTTAAAACTGTATCCTATATCAGTATTTTTTTCTTTGAAATACTTAAGTTTCAGTACAATAAAAATAATTTCTTTCTGAAACCAATCATTGATTATCATTTTTATATACTCATATTTATTGGTCTTACAGTGGTTTTGTTGCTTTTTCAACATGCAAATTTTAATGTAATATTGCAGTTCCAAATTTTCATACACTCCTAAGCTTAAAAGTTCTCATGTTTTATTTTCTCCAAATGATTTTTTCAAATAATACTGAACACTGTAATAATGCCTTCTTGTACATCAAACATTTTTCTAAAAGATAAATATTTTAACCTTTAATCTGGTTTTCATAACATCCAAATGAAATTGCAAATCGTATCTTTCAGAATAAAAAGCCACATCTTTGGTATAAATCTCTGAATGTATCTGATCAATCTCTTACACAGAGAGACTGCATTTTGAAAATCATGGCATTTTAAATTACAGTGACTTTTTAAAGGCAATGAGACTTAGAATGGAAGTACACACCATACATTTTGACTTCTCTCATTTAATCATTTCATTTTTAAAACCAGATTTCATCTCACATCCAAAGCAACCTTACTAATGTGCATGTCTGGATGTGCTAATTCCCTTTGTCATAAAACAGAAACTAGCCTGAATTTTCTAATAATTTTTCATCACATTAAAATCCAGAGGAAAAATTAACATGAGATAATTTTGAGTTTCAATGCACATATTTCATACAGATGCTTTTTCTCCCCCCCCCCCCTTGCTCTCCACCTAAGGAAGTAGAGAAATTGAGACTAGAACTGAGTGAAAGCAAGCAGCACGTGGAACGGGAGCAGCAGAAGGCAGCCCGGGCCAGAGAAGAGTGCCTGAAGCTGACCGAGCTGCTGGGCGAATCCGAGCACCAACTGCACCTCACCAGGTACCCCTAATCCCATTATGCACCCTCGCCCTGATTCCTTTCCACTGATTTTTTGCCACAGGCTTCCCAACAGTTGTTAGACTTGTCTTAGTCATCCAGTTCACACACAGCTTTCAGGCATATTAAGAAAAGTGGAGATGTGGTAAGCAAAACACCCAGACATGTGAATGATAAGTGTGGCAGAGAATTACTGATATATTACAAAACCTTTCATCTACCATGCTCAAATATTTAAGCAATTCTCTATCAATATAAGCAAAATGACATGATTCTCCCACCATCACGGCAACCTCTCCTGTTAATTCTTCGTCTGATAAAAGCACTGACATGTTGGATCTGAAGAATACATGTAGGGAAATAAGTGGATATGTCAGTGATGAAAGAGATAAAGAAATTCTAAAATGCAAATTGAGGTGGAGCCAATACAAAATAAGGATCTGTGTCCTAAAGGGTGTAAGATTTAGAGATCAAATAGATTAGTATTGTTCATGTTCAAATCAATATAATAACCAGGCTTTTACCATTGAGATTTTAGATTGCATTGTTTTCATCTTGAAATACTGCGATGTGATTACTGTTGTAAATTTTAGTAAACATATAAATCAACTCTAAATTAAGACCATTTACATTGCAAGCGCTGTATTTGCTGAACTAGAAAAACACACACATACCTAAATACACACACAGGGAAAAATCAAAAAGAAAGAGTAGCTATTTTACTTTACCACTTAAGTGGTTCTTTCTCACTTTGAGTTTTAGTGCAGTTTTTCAGTTTTCAGATCAAGCCTTTGGGCTTATTCAGTTCTTAGAGTTTTTCAGTTTTTAGGAGAGAATTTTGTCTAAATACACATGTAAGTTTATGATATTTGATTTAGTTTATAAAATAGAAAAACACTAGGCTTCCAATTATAGTACTATGTTGAATTTAAACTATGAAAGGGGACTGATCCCTTTTACATTAAATTTGACAATGTAATTCTAAGCACGGTATGATAACAGATGGAGAAAAGCACCACTTGAACAGCCTGCATTTGGAGAAAAAATATTCTAGAGGTTGGTGAACCTCCCAAAGTTTTGGTTTGGTGTTAAGATGCCTCTAGTTCTGTTAAAATCAAACTTTGTTAAGAAAAAAAAAAAAAACATTTTGTTGTGATAATATTCCAAATGGTTTGACACCTTCCTTTTTAAACAGTGAAAGAAAAAGAAAGAAATTAAATCCTTTATACATAATGATATTTGAAAAAAGAACTAATACTTTTATGAGAAAATATTGCATAATTATACAGAATAATAGCTATTTGTTTAATGTCTGTTTAATGTATTGCCATTGTGGAACTGAGAATATAATACTGACATAGCTCTGGTTATTTAATGTATAAAGTTTCAGAATTTAGCTTCAGCATGATAATGGTACAGTTTGTCTTTTCTGTCAGATTTGTATTGAGTACTAACCATTTGTGTGCTAAGTACTAGTAAACCACAGAAATCGGACAGCTTTTAATGTCTTTGGCTGAGCTTCAGTAAATAAATATTAATGCTGGCTTTGCCCCTTTTGCCATTTTATCTTATTCAGAGAGTTAATTACTGAAGTCAAAGCCCGTAGAGAGTTTTCCCGAGCAGTATCAATTTGTAGTGTTTGACAAGATCAATTTCTTGCAAGTAGAGTGTATTAAGATGCACCAACAGCTGAAAATGGACAAGTGGTAACTAATTCCTTTGTTCTTAAGAAAAACTGTTTTGCCTGGTTCCATAAAAAGCTTTTTCCATCAAGCTTTAATTAACCAATTCTACAAAAATTTAAACCTCTTTTTACAGAAATAAAACTAAATTACCTGTGTTTTAAATGTAGTACTCTTTGAAAGCATTTTAATAGCTTATGCTCATCATTTATAAGATCCACATTCATAAATCTGAAGATGACAATTGGTAAGGAGCCCTGTAAATCTCTACTTTGCACTGAAAATGTGACGTGATTGTGGAACTAAATACTTCTCATACACTTTTCTAAAAAAACAGTTTGTTAGTGTTCATCATTGTTTTTTGATTCAGTATACTCAGATGTGGTAGTGAAATATTGCATTTTTCTTTTTCAGGATAAACCAGCTAAAATAGCATCTCACCATTGAGTCTCAAAAATCTTAACTGGCATATTCTTGTCACAGTTTAAAATCAAATATGAAATCTATATTATAAATGAAATCCATGTTATAAAGTAACAGTGAAATCAGCATATATGTTGTTAAGATCAAAGAAAATTTAAAAATTGAAGTGGAGATCTGTAGATCAATCTGAAGGAAAAAATGTGGTGTTTTTCTTTATTTTGATTTAAATTAAATTTTAAACATAGAAAATAAAAATTCAGCATTTGCTGCAAGACCCAGTTGGTGGCATGTAATAGGCATTTAGTCAATATTTACTGAACATCTACTATCTTTGAAGTACAATTGAATCAGATTTCCCCATAAAGTCAATATTGAACCTAGCCATTGAATTTGCCTGGGTTCTTAACCAGCTTCAGTTTGCAACCGAGGTACCACTGCACTCTACTTCACCCTAAGAGCATAAGACGACTCCTTTCATATCCTTAGGCTGCTTACACTCCAGTAAAGGAGCCAAATCTATAAGTGTAGGTGTAATAAAGTGTGACAGTGGTGCTATGGTAGAAGCAAACATTACTAGGGGAGCATGGAGGAAGGAGTGCTGGCTCATTCTGCATGAGGGGAGGTGACGATGATCAAGAAAGCTGAGACTGAAAATGATTGTTGGGGTGGGGCAGATGTTTGGCAGTGATCTTGATTACTTAGTTCAGGAATATGAGTTTTCAAAGTGGAAAAAGATGGGCTGGGTGGGTATACCAGTGCAGGGGCCAAAATGTGCAAAGACCTAAAGGCAGTAGAGAACATGAACTGTACAATCAGAGTAGGTATTTAGTGGAAAATAAGACTGAAAAGGGGATCAGGATCGAGAGGAAGGGCCTTGGGAGTCTTGGCTATTCTGAGACTAATGCATTGGTCTCCATGCATTTTCAGCTGTCAACATGATGAGCTTTCTGGGGTCCTGACTCATACCGCAGTGTAGAGTGCACTTGGAAAGGTGATGTGGGAGACATGGCCGGTAGCTACAGCCCATGGGCTACATCTGCTAAACGTTTGTTTCTGTATGATTTATAAGCTAGGTTGTTTTTTGTTTGTTCGGGGGACAAATAGTATTTTGTGGTCCCAACTTTATGAGAAGCTGAGAGATAGCAGGATCACATGAGCCCAAGAATTTGAGGCCGTCTTAGGAAATAGGCTTAATAACGACAATAATAATGCTATTATGTACTTAAAATGTTATTAAATAGTAATAATGCTACTATTATTATTACTTAAGTGTTGTGAAATGTAGGTACAACTGTCCATAATATATGATATGCAACATTATAGCAAAATTAAGTATGGTCCTCAAAATCTAAAATATTTACTGTCTGGCTGTTTGCAAAGAAAATTAACCAGTCCTTAAGAGGCTGTTTAATTCAAGTAAGAAGTCAAGGGAGCTTGATAGATTCTGTGTGTTTTGTAACTGCAAAGCATTATGAAAGTAGACTGAATGAGGGAGCAGTGATTAGCAGGGGCCCTATAGAGTATAATCATAGTTGTCCAGTCGGATAGGAATAAAGCTCTGGGCTATGGGTGTACCCGTCAAATGGAAAGAAAGTCGTCTATTCAAGAGATATTTAGAGAAGTAAGTAGGAGACAGAATTAAAGGTGACTGCTGTTTCCAGACTAAGTTGACTGGATAAACCTTTAACCCAACCAGGAAACTTAAAAGAGATAGCAGAGAAAACAATACATTTTGTTTAGACCTTTAGGTGAAGATGTCCAGTGTAGGTTTGTTGTGAAGTAAAAGGTCACAACTAGTGGCTTAGATCTAGATGCTTTTACGTAGAGGTATTGGCTGTAGCTAAGGAAGTGAGTGAAAGCACGTACTGAACTCTTTAAAAAATTCTTGGCCGTGCTGGAGATTGGACCCAGAGCTTCATGCACATTAGGCAGGTGCCTTACCACTAAGCTACATTTCAGTCCAAGCTCCCTGTTTTGAAGTTCTGTAGAAGAACCAATAGGAGACTAAAATTGAGTCTTTGGACACTTGTAAGAAAATAACTAAAAATGATTCAAAAGATGCTTTAGTGAAGTAACCAAATGCTATTAAAACTGTATACTATTCTTAGAGGGTTCCCCAGGCAGCCTAGGACTGAGGAAACCTACATCTTTTCTAGGCATTCATTATCTTTGCATCTTTTGACAAATGGCTTAGCTTTCTAGGCCTACTTACTTACCTGGAAAATAAGGGAAGACTAGATGTTTCTAAATTTCTTACTAACGCTGATAATCAGTGATTGTAACATTTAAAATACCCTATTCTGTAATTCCTACATCTGGACAGTAAACATTTAAAATTGCTTTGATTATCCTTTGTGTAAGATATTTCTTTATTGGACTTCAGAGTAAATACATAGAAATGTCACTCATACCTGCCACCCACGGGTTCATCAGAACTTAGGCTCTGTGGGTCTCTCAGAAGGGTGGTGGAAACAGCCTCTGAGCACCCTTCTGATCTCTTTTGCTAGCCACTGCCCATCGGACATGCATATGCCACTGCCTTGATTCTATTGCTCTATTCTCAAAACCTTTGTGATGCCACACTCACTCACAAAGGTTCCAAATCACTCCGCTTGGCATTTCAGGTCATCCGATAGATTCCAGCCTGCCAGCCTTATTTCATCCCTACCAGTTCTCTCCTGCTGATTCCTAGCCAGAGGTGGTTCCCTCTGTAGGTTTGGACTTCTCTGTCCTTTTGCTGTTCTCTACACCTTGGTTATCCTTTTGACCTTTTGTGGCCCTCCTAAACCTTACCTTCTTTTCAGGGACTCTCTGAAATCTGAATCTTTCTACTGTAACCCTCTCTGATAACTCTGCCAGAGGGAACCTTGTCCCTTGAATCCTTCATTACCTCTGAGG